AAGGTTACTGGGTAAGTGCTTTTGCGAGGTATGCGGAATACGTAAACGATTTTGTTATGCCTGTCGATTGCGTCTCTCCAGCAAAACGAATAAGATGATCTACAAAGGCGCAATCACAAGCCAATATTTACGATAACAGTGCATTTGATTCGGTGGTACTTGTAGTTGTATTTTACCCTGCTTTCTGCAACAGCGTGTCATGACGAAGAGCTGGAACGTTCACGGTTTGTGCTGGGCTACCGGTTGACCCAGGGGCAAATCCAAAATTCCGTGTTTTTTTTTTTGTTTTTTGTTTTTTTTGGGGGGGAAGCGAGGGGGGGGGGAATCTAAACTCTAAAGCAAGATAAACAGGACTCCGGTTGCGCCTTTTGTTTTAACCGCCGCAGTACCACACTGCGCCGACGGCCCCTAGATGTGCGCCGCTGCGCCGACTTTTGGTTCTAACTTCTAAGCCGTGCTTTGAAACCGCCGCCGCGGACTTCAGTCTAGGCGACGGAGTGGTTCTCCAAGTGTGTGCGCCTGCTAGGGTGCAGCCTACCCTATTTCGAACCCTCGTCCTTGAGTACCGAGCTTCCTACCACCTGGCAGGACGGGAGTTGGTTTTATTTCGGGGGATCCACCCATGTCAAATCGCCCTCCAAGAAGGGGGCAGGGGGGGGGGGGGGGGGTCGACTGTTTGGAGGGTAGGCGGCCGCCCCCGTCGCCTCCCGCCTCCCCCTTGGGTCTGCCCCTGGATTGACAGAAGCCCGCGTCGCCCGCATTGTGAGTGCACTTGGGCTGTTGTAGTGGCTCTAGGCTGTTGATGCTCAAGCCTTTCATCCGCGGCTTGCCGTCAGCTGATCCGGCTGCTCGACGGTGAGGAAGCGGCGAAAGTGACCTCTGAAGCAAATCTAAATCTTTGTTCATCCAGTTATCCGGTGTCAAAGTGTGGAAGGTGTCAAAAGTGTACTGAGGGCGGGAACTACGAGCGTTTTGCCTCGCTTTCGTAACCAAAACCAGAACAGCGAGATAACTGCCTTGCGTACTCCAAAATGATGGAAGCAATAAGTTGCCAAAACCTGTTTTTAGGGTTTCAAGCCGAGTAAACAAGACAAATATAATTAAACTTCGTTGTCTGTATGCAGGAGGACTTATATAACACAACAATATATTCTCTTTCCAAAACGAAAAAGAAAGTAAAACTTAGTCCGCCGTATATGGCAGCAACTTCTCCACTGCAAAACCTATGTTGGCAACGTAAGCGGTTTTAATATGGCAGCCTCCGCTTTGCGCCGCGTTCCCTTTCCCTCCTTCCCCCCCCCCCCCCCTGGTTTTTTCCTTCGCGCTCAGCAGCTCGCTGGCGGGGCAAATTGCCCAGTGTGCACAGACGCCGCCGACGATTCCTAGCACTTCTAGCAACACTAAAGTTTTCCTTTCGTTTTTATTTTTATTAACCCTTTTAGGTACTTTAAAAAATGTTTGTGTATTTTTAGGACACATTCAATATAAAAATAGTGTTTTTAGGACCCAAAGCAATACTCATGCAAAATGTTTAACGTATCTTAGGAAATATATTTTCTGGTTTCGGTTTCGCGGTCTCGACTTTTCGCCGCGAGGGGTTTCCAAATACTCCGTCGCTCCGTGGCTCCGTCGGCTGCGATGTGCATGGCGGCGCCCAAGATGCGTATCGTCCACGCCGTGCTACGCACTTCGACCTTATGTTACAAAGGTAAGCAGTACTTTGCTCTGAAATAGGCTAATTTTGAATTTTTACAAGTTCTGGATTCCATAGCGCTGACGTATTTTACCCTGAAACGTATGAAGGTCGGGGGAAAAAAAAGTACATAGTAGATATGCGAAGGCTCTTTCACATGCTCTGATTCTCGCCCGAAATCGGTGCGGTTTCTAGTATATGTGCGATTAAAATCGCAGTCGCACTGTCGCAGCGGCTCTGCAACTGGTTTCCACCAAGTTGGTATTTTGCCGCAGAGCCGGTGCGATCGCTTTCTCGTCAATCAGCCGTTCATTAGCCAGCTTTCATCCGCGAAAATAAATGTAGGCACATAAAAGCTTCTGATTTAATGCTTCGTTATAATAAATTTCTGGTTACATATTGTATTCCTAAAACATGTATGCTTATTAAGACGTTTTTGTTGTATTTTAGACAAAGTGAAACGCGTCGCGTCCGTGTCCGAAGCGCCAGCCGCTCCGACAGAAATCGCGCGGTTGTTGGAGCATGTGAAACCAAACATTGCGATCGCACTCGCTGCGTCGACTGTCGCACCGATTTTTTTTTTTTTTCGCACAGTCGCTGCATGTGAAACTGTCTTAAGAGAGGAGTCGCATAGTAGTTCTGTGATTTCTGTGGTGTTCCGTTCCGTGCTTAGATTTGGCAGTGTCTCAGTAGTTTACTTTAGGGGCGGGCGTTCACTCTGAATTTTACATACCTGTGCACGAGGAATCGGCTGTAATTGTCGGGAGAAAGCTTCCTGTTTGGCGTGGTTTAGTACATCCCTGTTTTCTGGTAGAATTTGACGTGGTGCTCTTTTCTTTTAGGCTTCGTATTCTACTGCTGCCCGAAGGAAATTCCATCGGGATCTTTCTACCAGACAAGGTGTCGCGATCGTCCCTGTGTGGTTTTGATTCCAGAAAGTGGAACTGTGTCTGATGCGGGACCTAGTGATAGTGAAGTGAGTGACAGTGACGAGGAGAACTTGCCAACGAGGGGCCTAACAACAGAACTTCCAAGCGATAACGATAGGCAGAACGCCCGCCTGTCCACTTCTGTCAACGTCAAGAAAGAAGCAAAAGTCACCGCCGCAAGTTTTTGACTGGGGAGAAGAAGACCGGTGTTTTCTGGAGCCTGCGGAACCCATGTTTACGGCCTCTGATGGTGTCAAATGCCGACTGAAATATTTTCAAGTTTTCATTGATGACAAGCTGCTGGCGATTGTTGACGAGACAAACCTGTGTTCTTTCCATCAGGCTATTGCATGTAGGTAAACGTTTGTTACACTGTGCCAACATGCTTACGCAAAGTACATATTATTCGAAGTGAATCGTTGCATCGCCCCTTCAATTAAGCACCTTATAAAATCAAATGTGGTGTTTGAGCTCTGTACATCTTATTTCATTTTACAAGAAAACATGTTTTCATTCAACACCATACATATATCCGTAATGTGTGCTCACCAGAGGCACCCTGGTGTGCATGTCAGGCCAGTTTAGTGTGCCTTGGTGTGGACATTAGACCAGTCTGGTGTGGCGTAGTGTGCACATCAAGCCATTCTGGTGTGCTGTGTTGTGCACATCAGACCGGCCTGGTGTGTTTTGATGTGCACAACAGACCACACTAGGTTGATGTGATGGGCACACCAAACCAGCCTGACGTGTTCTGGTGGGGACAACGGAACACGTTAGGCTGGTCTGATGTGCGCACCAGAACACACCAGGCCGGTCTGATGTTTACGTCAGAAAACACTAGGACACACCAAACCGGTCTGGTGGATTTTTCAATAGGGAGGCCTCGAACTTAGGGGCGTCCGAGTTCAGAGCATTCATCGCGTTGTCAGTACTTCATATGCTACTCGCGAACAGTAACCTAAGTATTATGCGTAGACGGGGACTTGAAACTTGTACTATAATTCAAGTGTGAATTTTCTTTGATAGAAGGAATGCCAAAATAGGGTATCAAAATTCTCACGTATTGAACATTCATGTTTGTTTTAAGTACAGAATGAAAACAAAATTCCGGGAACACCTAAGGGTTTCTTAAGAGTTGTGAATGCGAAAGCATTCATGTCCAATTAAACTGTGCCACAAGTAGCCGCAGAGCCGGCAGGGAGTGCGGTGGTGCGCCGCGCAGACCACCCTGGCTCGCTGGTGACTGCTTCGCCGCTGGGTGAGGCAGAGGCACAAGTGAGAAGCTCGGCGCGGTACGTGCTGAAATCACGTTTCCTCACATCATCATCTTCGCCCTAGATCTGTGTACCGGTTGCTGATGTTATACCTCAAAGTGTAACGTTAGGCCTAACGTCAGGCCAGCGCATACCCGCGTCCCCCCCTCCCACTGCGCCGCCAGCAGTTCGGCTGGCTCCTTAGCAACGATGACGCCGTTGCTATGAAGCTACATGACGCGTCGCAGCCAATGGGAAATTAGGTGCCTTTTCCGCTGCTACAGACAACACCGGCTTTGCTCCATGGGACAGTAATTTCTGTCGCATTAAAAAAGACAAAAAGTTAGCTAATTTATATTGTTGTCAGAAATCGACACGCGCCGGTGCCTGTTAGTTCTATAGTCTCTATACTATAGTCTACTTGGACCTTGTAGTAGGAAAGTCTTATATTCAAATTTATTCAACAGATAGTCCACATCGTACATTCAATATTTCGCATGTTTGGTAGAAGAGAGGACATTTTTTTTTTGACCGCATAAAAAATAGGCACTGCGCTGAGACTCCGCAAGATTGTGACTCATTGGTGACAAAACGAGAAGGTCTGGAAACATGACGTTACCTGGATGGAAAGATAAAAAAGAGATACAAAACTTCTTTATGAGCCGACGTCGATCCAAGCAATATTGTCAAAACAAGAAACGACCGAGTGGGCGCCTGTAGCATTTGTTTGAGTGAAACAAGTGTCAACAAGACAAACAAAACATACATTTTTTTACAGGTTTAGTTCACTGAAATGAATGCTAGAGGTGCCGTAATGGCTTTTTTTTTTGACGATATTAGGGTTAGGTGGACGTCGGCTCATAAATAATTTATTTTTATTTTTTGATTCGGATAACTTCATGTTTCCCGAATTGCCACCTTCTATCACCAGCATTAACGTTACATTCTCAGATTATCAACTTTCTGCGGTCCAAAGATTATTTATGCGAAAAAAACAAAAAAACATTGATCTTTTTTTTCTTTTTCAAACACCTGGTACTTTGTTTCCATCTGGCAGCATTAATAAACCAACCCAAAATTCTAAGTACGCTATTTATTTTTGTGCACATTGCGCGACTATCAAACATGCCTCTTGGTATGTCCAAGGGGTCCAGTTTCGACGTCTGGCTGGTGACCACCCTGATGGACCTGAAGACGGTCAGCGAGCTCCTCTTGCAGACCCTGCTCACCGTAATCGCTGCCACGATGACAGAAATGCTCACCAGTCACCACACCGTCACCATACTCATGCCCGTTGCCGTACAATTGGTAAGCAGAATGAGCGAATATTGCGTTTTGATTTTGGCATTCCAGTTCTTTTTTAGTTAAATAGAACATGTTGTTTTTATTAGATTTGATTTCTCATTCTCTTGGTTGCTTGGAAACACTAACTCTAGTCTCCTTTTCTTCAACGTCACGTGCTCATCTTTTGAATACTGGTCAGTGGAAGTAAAGTTCAAAGGTTCATACCAAACCGGATTCCGGGTTGCGGGCGCCGGAAACCGCAAAGTTTTGGAGGTTGGTGTGACATCACCGGTAACGTCAATATTGCTCTATTTTTTTCGCGTAAAATTAAGTTTTTTGAAACGGGAGTCCCAATTAGACTGTTAAAAAAAAACTTTCTTTTTAAGGGTTTTTAATCCTTCATTTGTCTTTTTGTAGGATTTAGCGATAAACGCACCCCCATCCCCAACCCCAACCTCTCTTCTCTATTGTGAAACGTTTGCGAAGAGGGTAAGGGGGGGGGGGTGGACCGCCTTCCTCTGATTGGCTATTGTAAAATCAAGCCTCGTCGGGCTCTTGAAAAGTTAAATTAAAAATCTCAAAATACAGTGTCTCTATAGTCGGTTACAAGTCAAGAAGGTAGCGGCAAAAGCCCCTCAAAGGGAATCTTGTATTCCTCCGCCACCAATCGCGTTCCGTTGTTTCCGTGACGTCACGACCTGCCCGAACCAATCTTGTTCTGGCAAATGAATATTTTCAACATGGCTGCCGGGCAGATTTTTACGACTCGAGTATCTTGCAGCAATTATTCTGTTTTTAATGCGGTTTTTCACTTACCCGAGCATACCTCGCTAAGTCGTAACCGCGTCCACTTTTATTCGCAATAGGTTCTGCGCGACAGCGTGAGAATCCAGCGATAGCATTGCCATCGAAAATTTCGATGCGGGAGTAAGGCCTAACATCGTACATACGTCGAACGCCGTGTGCTTCTCTGCCTCGGGTTGCGCCTGAACATCGTGAAGGCATCGGCTTTTCTTCGCAGAGGTTTCCGTGGAGCGACGTTAAAATGCAGCGGTCACCAAACTCTTCTTTATAAGTGTAGTGGGCTGTGCGGGAGGGGCATAAGTGAACCGCGAACACAGTAAGTGTCTTTACTCAATTTCGACCGTACCTTGGCTGGCGTTAATAAATAGTCTGTCTACTGAAATGACGCTTTCGAAGCAGTATGCATTCATCTGTGAAACGTGGCGTCCTTTTCAAGTTTCCGCGTCGCAATCGGCTGCACGGTAATCTATGACTGCGATAGTACCCGCGGGTACACCCTCGTTCGCAATAATGAGCTGTTACATACAGGTGGCACACAAATGATAAAGCCAGTGATGCGTATGTTACAAACATTTAATTGATATTGTTTTGGACGTTAGGAGGCTGATGTCTTCTTTTGGAAGAAATAACAGAGAATTTGAGGGAAGCAGATTCGGTTCTCTCAAATGCTTCCGAACATTCTGCTCGCTCTCGAGACACTGTCAGTCGTATATTTATGCTTCGAAACCCGGGTACGTGACGCCTGTACCTCCACTCGCTTTGCGTCGCGGCCTGAGGTATTACCGGTAAACACGCACCAATTTTTCCAATTTACTTAAGAAGGAAAATGTGTCCACAATACTGGATCGCAGCATTGGTTTAATAATTTGTAAAAGATGAAAAGTATGGTCAATAAAAATTGATTTTAAGGGAAGCTTCCTGCTTCATGAATTGTGGCTTTCTTATATGCGAAATTTTTGTTTAAATCAAGAATTGAAAACATACCGAATACTCTTGATCTTGGTCCGAATGCAGGTGGCAGAATGATTTGTCTTTATAATAATAAAATCAACAATGTTTGAATCAAGCAACAGCTGAAACCGCCTAATTGCATTTCTGATGTATGTTTCTCTCTGGATCATACCAGCCTCCAGGCCGTAGCCGCGAACGAGCTCTTCAGAATCTGCCATCGTCTTTCTGGTCTACCTTGGCAAAGACAGACTCGTGTAAAAACATTGAGCTTCTTGGAGGCAACCTTGCCGTCCCCATTGTCAGAGCCTCCATGGAACCATTGGAAAGAAGGGTCCCTGTTGTTTCATCGACGCGTTTCATCAACTTTTTACGACTCGTTTCATCGATACTGCCACACTGTGCTGTGAAGTTTCATCGACACAAAAATTTCACGCTGTAGGAACATTTTGTTGTGCGTTTATCACTGAAGCACATATTAAACTATCCGACCGACCCAGTTCACGACGCTTTGCGGCGACAGTCTCCAGCAGTTCATTACAAAAATGTGGACCGACCCAGCCCACCCGTACATGCCGCTTCGCAGCAACCTGTAAGGGTGGTCCTACCCCCTGCATGTACCCGTACCCTTGCTCACCAACTAAGCAGCGCACCCCTAACCAAACCAAGATCTTGTCGACGAAACATAGCAAGATATGTCGATGAGCGAGTGTCGATGAAACAATCTGTTGATAAAGCGTCGCAGCGTTGAAACAAACTTTCGGGGAAATGTCATTTGATGAAATGAGTGGCAGCGAAAAAAAAGCCTGTTCCCGAGCCGCGTTACTTAAACACTATCGCAGGCATCATTTTTAGATACTCATTGCCAGAACAAATGCACTCTAAACAAAGAAGAAAATGAATTTCACGCCCCTCTGCTGTTAAAGTTCACGACCTGGAATTGGATAAGGGGCCATAAGGCAAATTTGATATGGTTCTGGACTGGACAAGACAACCTTTCGGTACTTCACAACTCTGCCCTTGGCAACAAGTCTGGCTGCAATCTGTGCAGTGTGGTTCTTATCAGCTTTGAAAACGTTAGATTTAATCCTGTACATTGCACTAGTCCTGGAGGCTTAAAACTGAGGTCTCTATGGAAGACCGCTTCACTTCATCACAGCGTTTCTGCAAGACGGACAATATCAAGCTTGAGCTAGGCCCAGTTACTGGCATTGGCATTCCCCAGATTTCCGTCCTCTCACCAATCCTTCATCAATGTTGTAGCCGACGTTTTCTCATTTCAAGCAATTAGTGCTGTTTTTACGATACATTTCAAGCGAGTACAATGGCGCCTCTTAAATTCAGGAAATCTATGCCGCACTACTTCAGACCACACTTCGGCGCACAGGGCAGCCTGCTCCTCATCCACCACGAGGTGTTGGCCAACTCGCCAAAGTGCGACCCAAGAGTCATAATGGCCGTCGACTTCAAGGGAACTTTCGACGCGTCTACTCAGCTTCGAAACGAAGCACTAGCACTCGCATTTTGCTCTCCACTGTGCTAACACAAGGTATTGTTATTCCCAGGGTGGCCTCAGTCGTGTGAATGGCCACAGACGTCCTGCTTATGTTTCGAAACGAGATCATTAGCAGTTAGAGTTAGCTGCACACAGTGCTGACAGACGTTATTGTTATTCTCAGAGTGGCCTCGGTCGTGTGGATGGCCACCGACGTCCAGTTTATGCTTCGAAACCAGTCATTGGCAGTTAGAGTTAGCTGCCAGCAGCGCTGATGCACGTTATTGTTATTCTCAGAGTGGCCTCGGTCGTGTGGATGGCCACTAACGTCCAGTTTATGCTTCGAAACAGGTCACTGGCGGTTAGAGTTAGCTGCCCGCAGCGCTGATGCACGTTATTGTTATTCTCAGAGTGGCCTCGGTCGTGTGGATGGCCACTGACGTGCAGTTTAGGCTTCGAAACAGGTCATTGGCAGTTAGAGTTAGCTGCCCGCAGCGCTGATGCACGTTATTGTTATTCTCAGAGTGGCCTCGGTCGTGTGGATGGCCACTGACATCCAGTTTATGCTTCGAAACAGGTCATTGGCAGTTAGAGTTAGCTGCCCGCAGCGCTGATGCACGTTATTGTTATTCTCAGAGTGGCCTCAGTCGTGTGGATGGCCACTGACGTCCAGTTTATGCTTCGAAACAGGTCATTAGCAGTTAGAGTCAGCTGCCCGCCGCGCTGATGCACGTTATTGTTATTCTCAGGGTGGCCTCGGTCATGTGAATGGCCACTGACGTCCAGTTTATGCTTCGAAACAGGTCATTGGCATTAAGAGTTAGCTTCCCACAGTGCTGACTCACATTATTGTTGTTTTCAGAGGGGCCTCGGTCATGTGAATGACCATGGGCGTTCCCTTTAGACTTAGAAACAGAGTACTGGTACTGCGATTTCGCTCTCCACTGTGCTAACACACGGCTTTGTTATTCTCAGAAGCCTCAGTCATGTAAATGGCCACAGACGTCCCATTTATGCTTTAAAGCAGAGCACTGGCATTGATATGTTGTGTCGTTTTTCTTAGACAAAAAAGAGCTTATTTGCAATCGAAATTCCATTTGCTGCGTAGCAAAGATCTTTAGACAGCGGGAAGGGTCAATATGGGCATCTGATGTCTTTGCCGTAGATGGGCTGCGAACATTTTGTTTTCGTGAAGTTGAAATCTATACTGGTGATTTATGGCACAGTGCAATGTATAGACCAGCTTAGACATTATCGCAACAAAAATAAAAAGTTTGTCTGGTGGCTGCATATCGAAATGCTATTCGGCAACGAGCAGAGAAGCATGACAACATGAGACACGGGAGGTTAGTGGTGGTCAAGAACAACAATCCGATCTTAAAGCAAATAAGTGGTCCTTAAAAGGACCGTTTTGTGTTCCGAGATGTTCCACGCTTTCTCCATAAGGGTGGCCTTAAGCTTCGTCAAGGGGCTCGACACCAGACAGGTCACTCTCGGATGGGGTGTCCTCTCCATCCAGCTGGATGACGATGGGCTGGATGTGGGCACTTGTGGCACCGTCTCGTCGGAACGTTGCTTCAATGTCAATAACGTGCCTGACAGCATTAATCCAGTTGTCAGTGGTGACCTTGTCAACTTCTTCGTTGAGGAGTCTCCCCACGTCGACAATCTTGAACGTCGTGTTTCGGGCAGCAACTCCGTTCTTGATCTGCGCCCATATCAGTTCAATGGGGTTGAACTCGCAGTGATACGGTGGGAGCCTGACCACAGTGCAGCCAGCTGTCTCGGCAGCAGTGTCCACACGATACTTTAGGTGCTGTGGCTTCACCAAGGCCACAATGTCGAGCAGCTGCTTCTTCACCATCTTGGGGTCCCATGAAATTTTCTTAGACGTCAGCCACTGTCGGATGTCGTCCTTCCGGGAACTCGTCGTCGGCACTGCTTCCAACCGCCGTGAATGGTAAGAAGCGTTGTCCATGACGATAACGCTTCCTGTCGGCAGTTTGTCGAGGACACCGTCGAACCACTTCTCGAAGCGGGCGCCATCCATCTCCTCGTGGTAATCACCGGTTTTTTGTCCACGGAACACGTCCAGGCAGCCGTCGACGAAGCCTTCATCGCTGCCGATGTGGGTGACAATAAGACGCTGGCCCTTCCCCGATGGCTGCTTGAGGCCAGTCGAGAGACCACGCATGAAGGCGTCGTGAGACGAGGCCACTGTCGTGTCTACCCACACCTTTGAGACAGTGTGCCCTGCCGTCACCCACGTCTCGTCCAAGTAGAAGATCTTCCGACCATCTTGTCGGTGACGTGCGATCTCATGCAGGTACTTCTGCTGCCAGGCGACTATGTCCTCTCGTTCAATCAACCGGGAGTTTCGTTCCCTCTTGTCATGCTCGAATCCGATGTCGTGGAGAAGGCGACGCACAGTCCAAGCCTTCAACGAGGGAAGTTCAGTGCTCGCGCAGAATTCGGCCGTTATCTTCTTGACCGTGGGGACCTCGTTCCGTCGAAAGAAACGGTGGACGCACGATCTTAGCGCGCACAACGTGAACTCGCCGTACCTGATTTTGCGCCGCCTCTTGCCTTCACTTGCTGGGTGCTTCCGAGAAGGTGTCACAACTTGTCCCTCGGTTTCTTTCGCCTGCTTCCTAATCTCGAGGACGGTGCGTACACCAACGCCAAGCAGCTTGCTGACTTTGATGCAGGACTCCTCCACAGTGAGGCCGGGCTGGCCGGGCTTGGCGGGCGGTTCGTGTCGCACCTGAACGTACGCGTTCATTATCAGCTGCCGTGCAGCTCGGTTGAGGACATCGCCGCTCTTATGCTTTTTGTAGAGGCGCCTTGGCGTAGGCGGCGAGGCTGCACCAGACTCTCTTGACGAAAAAGAATCGGAGGAATCGCATTCCGCTGTCTCCACGTTGGGATTCATAACGGAAAAGGGCGACTTCGGCATTGTTAAAACGCGAATCGCAGGAACTTTCAAAACCCGAAACGCAGGTTTTTTTTAACAAACGCAGAAAATACACGGAATGTACCTAATTCGAGTAGGAAGGTTATCAAGCTAAAACCAACAACCATATATGCATTACTTATAAAAGTTACAATTTTCGTTGCACTGAAGCCTTCATTTTACGTCAAGCTTCCGGAGCGAGTAATTTGCCTCGGCTAGGTGGCGCAAGCTGCCGCCCGCTACAAGGTCTGTCTGTAGTCAATATCCATCCATTGAAGTAGAAGGGGCGTTTTCAGCGAACTATCTTCTCGACTGCGGAGGCGTCTGAAGCGGGCGCATCACGCTTATGGGGAGGGGCTTCTACTACCTTCTTAATTTGTAACCGACTATAGACTGTCGGCTTTACTTGCGAGTTATATAACATGCGAAGGAGCTAGAGGCGCCGAAATTTTGAACTTTGGTTTTGGCGTAACCTTTATTTGCCACTTTCTGGGTAGCTATCTTTAATTTAGAGGTAACGTCTCGACGTTTTCAACAAGGATGTCGCCATTTCGAATGTCGTCACTTCCAGTATGGCCGAAAGCATTATTTGGTCATCGGCGTGGCTATAGAAGGCATTCAGAATATAAGCTAAACCGCCACCAATATCTCAGCAATATTTTGTTCCTATTCGCAACTTTAAATGTCTTATTTTTCCTTTTGTTGCCAATACCGGGTATGGTTACCAGGTGGCTGGGGACGAGAGTGAACTAAACGGGTCTATAGCATGCCGGGAAGAGACAATCCTGGGCGTTCCGAAAATGCGCTTAGTTTGGATACCTCGAAAATCTGCCCCATTTAGGGCAGTTTCCCTCCCTCTCTTCCCAGGCCATCAGTCGCACGTACAACCCGCTCTACTTCGCCATTCCGGTGACGGCCGCGGCGTCCAGCTCGCTCATCTTCCCGACGTCCGGCGTCGCCATCGCCCTGCTCGCCGAGATGACCGAAATGGGACCTCTGAACCTGGTGCGTGGGAGCCCGGGACGCGTGGAACCATTCATTTACATATATGTGTATTTTTCCAAACATCAGTCGAGTCTATCTGAATGAACAAAGCCAACAAGTGTTCTTTCGGCACCCCGACAAGCAACATTACACCCTGAAGGGTGTCTACTTTTCGTGTGTAAACTATACTTCGAGGCGTCCCTTCCGCGCTGAGCACGGGCAAACCAATCGCTGGCATGTATCCGCTGAGGTGGTCTATTTTGGTTGAGACATCGAGCATCGAAAAGGCCATGTGCCCTGGCGCACATCGCATTTTTGGCCACTGCGCTGGGAGCACATCGCCACGTCTCCCTGTGCAGTGGCTCGCACTGGCCATCGAATGAAGAGGCCTGTAGTACAGCTTAGTTTGAGGCTCTATCTGCCCAGGGGCAATAAGCACAATGTTTTACGTGCCCGTCTGCGAGAGGCTAATTGCGTTTTCGGCGGAGAGAATTTAGTCCCCTTTTATTTGTTTCAAACTGTGCGTTTGTTTCACATCGAAGGGGCGGTGGCCCCGCGCTTCTTTCCGTGTATTTTCCGCTGGGTTGTGTTGCTTTCTCTGGAGTTTCGAATCGGCCGAAATGTATTGGGAGAATTTTTTTTAATATATTATATGAACTCTACTTTTGTCTTCTCTAAAGATATTGGAGCCCACAAAAATATCCGGTGTACTTAATGTCCAATGCACTTGAAGCAATTGGCATTAGACAAAGTGTTGCTTATGTAACGAAATACTTCCTACGGTTCTCGTTTTCCAGTAGACTGACATACGTTCACAAGAGAGCAACGAACTGAATATAATATTTACGTGTTTACAATGTGATACCTGACATCACTTCTAGTTCTTGGGTGGTCTTCGTCGCACCCATATTTGAGAGCTAACTGCAGATGGCTACACAACACTCTCTTAATTCTACATTTATCGATTTCACTTTATAGTATCTCAACGTTTGTACACTCGTCAATTCCAATCATATTTTTTTTATTCGAATACATAAAAAAAAGCTTAATAATGCAGCTTTGGAAGGTTTCCTAATGTCTAGTAGAAATTTCTGCGGTTTGCCGTTTGATATTTTCTTGCCTTTCATTTCTTTAACATCAGGGTCGCTAAACTCGTCAAGCACAACTTTGTGCCCGAAGTTTGCGGAACGCGCTAATTGGACTCTCGCGACGCTGACGTCGCGCCGAGCGAGGTGTCAATCATTCGAACGCTCATTTTTTTGAGAGAGGCAGAATGTAACAAAGTTCATCGAGGCGCGCGTGCGGCGCGGGAGGGGCGCGAGGAGCCCGCTGATTGAACGGCTTCGCCGATGACGTAGCGCCCCTTTGTCCCTACATCCCTACGCCAAGCTAAAACTAATGCTTTGCAGATGTTCCCTAGGCGACCTGCTGACGCTCGAAATCCCTCTGAAGTTTGTGTAAAAAAGAAACCTCGTTTGTCGAAGTTGTCGCTGACGTCAAAGTGACGTTTCCGACTTTGCGAGAGTCGTGGTTTGAGCTCGAGATCTTTGCTTCGGATCGAGGCGAAGTTAAACTTTGTCAACATGGCGGTGCCGTACGCTGCGGCCGAGCTTATCTTCCGCCACTGTCGGCGTCGCTACTGAGACCACCGGGGACGCCTTTCAACTCCCCGACGACGACTTTCGGCGACAGTACCGGCTATCGAAAGCCGTTGTGCGTTGACTCTGCGACGAGCTTCGTTCGCCGCTTCGGACCGTGGAACAACAAGTTCTCTGCGCGCTCCGGTTCTTCGGAACCGGTTGCTTTCAAGGCATGGTGGCGACTGACAAGCACCTCTCAGTCTCCCACATGACTGTGCGCCGGGCTGTCAGAGTTTTTGCGGCTGCCATCGTTCTTTCTTTTTTTTTTCTGTAATATTTGAAGAGGTACTAATAAGGTGGTATACAATTCAGAATGTTGGGAAACAAACAATAACCGGAGTAATTCTTGGGTAGGGTCGAGTTTCCCGGCAGCCGGCTGAATTATTTCCCTGAAATTCTACTGGCAGTCGTCACTCATTGGCGGTCAAATCAGTTCATCGAACGACGTGTCATCGACAGATCGTTTAATCGGCACGCGATGTAATCACATGAAAGAAATTGTCTTCCGTTAGAGGTATATACACATTAAACATTTTCACACCTTTATACATGTAAGTGGGGTGTCCCATAACTAACACCCTAATAAGTGTAGCGATGGACCTTATAAAAGAAATGTAAACCTCACACCTTTAAAAATGTGATTTTTTAAACACGTTTCTTAAAACGTGTGATAGTGCACTACACCTTTTTATAAAGATGTAAAACTACAATACCCCTTCTCGTCAGGCGTAATTACTACAGATGTAATTACTACAGTACATTTAAGTGGGGTGTCCCATAACTAACACCCTAATAAGTGTAGCAATAGACCTTATAAAAAATGTAAACCTCACACCTTTAAAAAGGAGTGATTTTTTAAAGACGCTTCTTAAAACGTGTGATAATGCACTACACCTTTTTATAAAGACGTAAAACTACAATACCCCTTTCTCGTCAGGCACGTAGCCAAGGGGGGGGGGGGCATAAGGCCCGCCCCCCCCCCCTTCCCCCGAAATGTTCCATTTTGCTGGGGCCTCCTCCCCTCCCTCGCCCTCATACAGCACTTTGTCATCGACGCCCCCCCGCCCCCCCCCCCCCCCCCCCCTCTTAAACAAAATTCTGGCTACGTGCCTGCTTCTCGTCAAGGTGTAATTACTACAGTACATTTCTTTTTTGGGGTGTACACAGTGACCCGGGACCCAATAATATGACTGAACAAATAAATTACACAAACGAGTCGCCGAAACAGCACGTAGCTTTTGGCGAGTGTCGAGGCAATATCGGCCGAAAACCGCCTTCAATATTGGCCGGATGTACGGTTTTGCGCCTCGTTCCGACATCCGGCAGGTATGGGTGTACCCATGCAAATAAACGATTTATGTCTAATAGCACTGGCACCACTGATTTCTTAGGAGGCTAGATCGCGGATAGAACAATGTATTGCTGGGGTCGAGCGGCACCACCGGCAGTCATCGCTTGACACGATCTTATGCATGCTATAGGGAAAACGGAAAAAGTCAATATTATTACGTTAGTTGGTTGTTCTCTACCATGAAGCTTCTATCGTGTTTTAGCAAATAACAGTTAATATTGTGGGCAATATTAAAGGGGTCATGAAACGCTTTTCCAACTTTTTCCTGTTTAGCTTTCCTCCTCAACTCATAAATCGCGCATTCCACCAAACAATTAAAGAAGACGAAAAGGGGGAGTCCCCTCTTGCTCGCACTCTCGTTTGCGTAATCCCGGACACATCCATTCTCCCCCTAGAAGATTAGCCCGTCGCTCAAAATTCAGACAACAGTTGCTTTCCCCACCCCGTTCATTCCGAAGCTGACAGTGCTGTTGAAGCTACGTGCTCGTTGGGCCAGCCACACTTGCCACGTGGGCGTGGCAAATGTGGCTGCAGAGAATGAAGTCAGGTGATGAAAGGGAGGCGGCTGATTGGTCCGGCAAGCGCGTAGCTTCCACCACAATGCCAGCTTAGGGGTGAAGGGAATAAGTGAGGTCCGGTTGCGTGTGACGTCAGTTTGGACCCGATGATGCGCTTTTGGGACCGCGGATGTATCACCGTGAAAAGGCAGAGAGGTTGCGAAGGGGAGGAGGTACGAAATAGTCCGCTCTGTTTTCAAATTTTCGCACTGAAAGTCAGGCTTTTGTCTTTCTACCTTTTTTCTTTTGGCGCACTGAACGATGTGCTATTAGTAAAATCCCAATCGAAAATGATTTATCCCATCCCAAAAATCGTTTCATGGGCCCTTTAACTGTTAACGCGTTAGAATACCAATCTTGTTTAACTAAATGTTGTGTGGTTGAGGGTCCAGGGTCACTTTGTTGGGCGTTAACTGTGATGTGTTTAATGAGACAAGGGCTACCGAGAGTATTGTGGAGTCATCCGTGATTTCAGAGTCATCAAAGCTCAGCAAACGATAAGTTAGAATGCCTTATACTGGGGACATTCGCATCGTTTTGACCGCTTGTACATAGTGCTTCATGGTGAAAGCTTTTTCTTTGAACTGCTGTGAGGGCTTCCGGGACAAACTGAAACTCGGAGCGTGCCGTCCAGTCGCTGAACGTCCCATTTATTTAGCAACCGAAGCAAGCGACGTCGGTAAGTCAATCGTGCTCCGGCCAATTTTTTTTAATCGATGTTCAAACGCTTCACGAATGTCAATTGGATCTCCAAGAACCGGACATAATCATCGCAGCACGTCATAAAATGCTCGCCCTCGAGCACCGCGTACAAGCTTCCAATTTTTGCGTGTTTCTCCCTTAGACTTGCGTGTATTGCCTCATGGTGTAATAGGCCAAAGCAACGAGGTCGAAAACGAAGGGAGAACTAGACAGGACGCGGCGTATTGCCTGTCGTCAAGCAATGGCCGCCGGTGAGGCCAGTGACGGGCTCTTTATTCGCGATCCAGACTTGCACTGTGAGAGTTCTAATGCATTACACCCGCCGAGTGCTGCACAGAAAACAGGCCCCGAACGAACTTGCCGAATGCACCGAGTGCAGACTGATGCTGTCGCCATAGATGTTGTAGAAAAGTACCGACCTCTAACCGAAACTAGCACCTCTTTGTTCGACGTGATGGGTGGGAATGCGAGAGTGCCCAGTCGCGGCCATCGTTTATCTATATAAACATTGGTTGCTGCAACGTGGAACTTACATTTGCGATGACTTCCACTTAAGCAGCTCGGCTGTCAGAGATATCTACAGACGGCGTAAGTTTCCGAAACCAGCTGACTACAAAACAGCATACACTTGAGGAAATTGATGGCACTGTACGCGCAAGAGCTTGCTTCGTGTTAAGCACAGTATGATGAGTGAACCACTGAAAGGATACGGCTTAAATCTAGTTCTTTGGAACATCTAGCAATACGTTTCGTAAGACTTTTTATTTCCCT